TGTCCATATTCAGGTTGTCTTTTAACCGCATTCTAGGTCGGCCTTTTGGACGTTTACCGGTGAAGACGACCTTATCAGCGGACTTCGATACAGCATCAGGAGGTCTCCGTTGAACGTGACCATACCAGCGGAGACGAGCTGCGGCAAGGGAGTTGGCAATCGGGTGGACCTTCATCCTGTCTCGGACTGTTTCGTTGCGGATTCGGTCGAGTCGCGTGTGTCCCAGACTCCATCGTAACATTCTCATCTCCATGACACCGTAGGCTCTTGTTTCCTCGGCCGTCATCTGTTTAGTCTCGGCTCCATAGATGGCGACTGGCTTCACGACTGAAGTGTAGATCTTTGACTTCAGGCGTATTGGTATTCTCCTATCACAGAGAACGCCAGTAAGAATCTCCATTTGCTCCATGCAGCGTTGATTCGTGCAAGGGTGTCGGCCTTGTCATCTCCGTCCGCGGCAAGCGTAGATCCGAGATATGAAAACGTCTTGCTCTGGAGAGTGGTGTTCTATCGACTACGATTGACGATGTTGTTGCGGTGGTGCACATGTATTCCGTCTTGCTTATATTAAGCCTGAGTCCATGGTTGGCAAGCTCTCTCTTCCAGCGGTTGACGCGCCGTTCTAATTTCCCTTTGGATCTGTCTATCAGCAGTACATCGTCAGCATATCCCAGCGTCAAAGGTGGCTCTTTCCTGATGTTCCTCGTAGCGTAGTCCATACATAGAATGAACAACAGTGGCGAAAGAGCCGATCCCTGGTGAACACCGACAGCACCCGGAGTTGTGGAGTGTCGGCGAACGACGTGGATGACATCCGTGGTCCCGTGTTCAGGTCGACCCGCACTGCATGCGACTGATGTTGACTATTTCCCTTAGCCTGGCGTCCAGCACACGTTCAAAAACTTTCAAAGTGTGGCACATTAGGCGAATCGGTCGGTAGTTGCTGCAGTTAGCGATATCTCCCTTCTTTTTATATATTGGCACGGTGACACTCTTTGACCAGTCCGTCGGGATCACTCCATCTTCCAGGCATTTGTTGAAAAGCTGCGTTAGATAGGAGCGACCTCCAAAGTGCTTCCATACTTCCACGGGAATGTCATCTGGACCAGTAGCCTTCCTGTTCTTCATTTTCCTGATGGCACCTTCAACTTCATCCTCGGTGATACGTGGGATGGGCCCTTGGGTCGGTAGTTCATTTCGAAGCGCCGGATGCGGATACTCGACGTTGCAGATTTCCTGAAAGAAATCATGCCAGCGCTTCCTGATTTTCTCAAAGTCATACAGAAGCACTCCATTGCCAGATTTAGTGAACGTCGTGGTTCTTTGGCGTCCAGATCGGCGATAAGAGGCTCTGCCTTGCTCTAATGGCACTAGCAATTGTCCTTTGTTTCTCGCTTGGTTTCGCGGTACCTCATTCTGGTCTCTTCCGTAGGGTTGAGGTACCAAGCTTTGTACGCGTCTTTCTTTGCCTTGACCGCGGCTGAGACATCTTCGTTCCAAAACCAGGCCCGTCGGTCCGGTGCACGCTTGAATCCTTTCTTATAGCCAATGGGCCGCGCAGAATCTCGGATTCACCGACAAGTCTTTTCCAGTCGTTCTCAACGTCTTCGGACGTGGCCTGATGGATCTTCATCGATAAGTGGTCTTTGACAGTTGGTCTTAGCGTAGCAATCCTGTTCCACCTCAAAAGCCTTCTGATGATTCTCGGCTGCTTGAAGGCAGATGAGTTGGCCGGCATCTTAATGGTCGCAATGACTGGACGATGTTGACTGTTGACCGTTACCGATGGGATCACATTGCTTCGTTGGCTCCTTCGTGTCAAAATGTAGTCGATCTGGGTCTTATGTCCCTCACTATAGCATGTGACTAGGTGGGATTCTCTCTTCTGGAAGGAGAATTGATTACTCTGAACTCATTACCCATCCAACAATATAAAGTTTTGGATAGGAATGTTGTAGTCATCAAGTGAACGAGGGAACCGATCTTTTCACGTCAAACGGATGTGGTATCCGTGCTCAGGGGGTCAAAATACCCCTAGAAAGAGTTCCTGGCCAAGTTGTGATTCTGGCCAAAATTTCGAATTGTCGGATGGGTAATGAGTTTAGAGAGGACAGATAGATAGTGATCAATCATCTCTCGATCGACTGCAAATACTTGATCTACTTGATTTAATAGCTCTGCTAGGCCGTAAACACGGAAGTATTTTGAAAATTAGAGTGAAGACTTTTATGGGAGACGATGCAAAAATTTTCGCGCCAACGTCATGCAAACCCACGAGCATTTGGTTTTGGAGCGAGGCCGCTACCACTAAGCCACTGTGGCACTGCACAATGATCGATCAGCAGCACTTACGAGCCAAAACCGAGTTTTCACAAACTCGACCACCCAGAACTCGTCTGGGAGGTCCCCGTAGCACTTTTAATCTGCATATTCGTAATCAGCATTCGAGACTCTATCGATGTACCTAGGTCTCCATTCAAAGTTCCATGGGAAGTTCAAACCATTCCCTTGTGAGTGATCTTGGAGATCAGGAAAAGTGTTGGAAAAGAGGAATATATAGCGAGTTGAATGTGCCTGCGGTGTGTTGAGACCCGTTCACAGTGGGTGTGGCGTGCCCTCAAGCACGAGGACCCTATTTTTTGTGCGTTGAGTGCATAGGCCGCCATACTCTTACACATCTGTTGTCAGGTACATTTGATACCAGTCGGTTCTCTGGCTGACACCGGGTGTGACTCCTTCTCTACTACGGCCAGGCTTCGTGACAGTGACATGAATAGTGACACGGCAACATGTAGTACGAGAAAATTTCACTTCTCTGTAACGAAGACGCTGGTCGCACCCACCTGTACGCAGTGCTCCTGGCCCTTGAAATTGTTCGGCTCACCAAGGTCCCAGTTCGTATAGGACCAAGGTTCCCCGTCAGACCATGACCATTTTTTGGTGCTTGGATCTTGCCTGCCTCCAATCCAAAGCAATTGACTCATCGGCCCATACTCATTAGACGACGGCTGTACCGCTAACTCTGAAAATCAACACCTTGCTAATAACAGAAAGCAGTACTGGTGATCCTTAAGTTGGGTAAATATTCGGAGAGTACTTGAAATTGACCACTAGGGAAACATATGATAATCATTGAAAACAAAAAAATGATTTCCATTAAACCTTGGATGCTGCTTTAGACAGCGTTCAGACCAGGGTACAGCATGGGGATGTGCGAAATGGCGGTGTGAGTACGACCCCCCCCCTCGAAGAGGGTCCAGATACGACCCCCCCCCCTCCTGCTCTAACTGACAACCAGATGCATGTTCACCACTGGCTTCCTGAAATGGAATCTGGATTTTCGAAAGGCGGACTCTGCTCTAAAATCCAGGCAATAATAGGCTGTTTCAGCCTCATGCAATATGAGGCTGAACAACAGCCTCGCATTACCTACAATTTTGTCTTAGGATTCAAAATAAAACTCGTCGTTCGACAACCATGTATGACATGCAACTTGTAACAAGGAACACAATCGAAACAGCGACTAATGGTGATCATTGATAAGCTAAATTGGTGAAAATTTGAATTCGAAAAATTTGAAAAATTCGCTCCGATAAATACGAATATGGCACTCGCTCAGCGCGAAAACGCCTGCACTGCGTGCCAAGGGCACCTGTACATCCAAAAATTCTCCTAGATCATAAGGCACTAAGCGCGCCAGTAAGCGAAAATGTGTTTTTCAGGCAAGTCAAGGAGAGCGCTAATGTAGTAGTGACGCCACAACCACTTTTTGCCACGTTTGCGCAAGAAGCAAAAAAGTTAAGCTCAGCAGGGATCCGATCCCACGACCTGTTGCGTGGTAAACGCGGAGAAAAAAGCTCCATAACTAGGTTCAGAGGATCGATCTGCAAGTTTCGAAGGCAGATTCGACATCAGCGTCCAAAACCACGTCTAGTGAACTACATCTCATTAATGGCCACTTCGACCTGGCGACCTTCCCTAGTCAGAACGCTGTCAAGCTAGAGATCGAAGATGCGATAGAGTGCAGTATGTCATACAAATGACTTAGAAACTTGGAATCGTGGTCAAAAGTACTCTCGAATTTTTTTCATCTTTTCTGGTTCTTTTCGAGATGGTTCAATGTGATGTCTGCCCCACACAAGACGACGCGCTTTTGTCTGCACTGTCTAGACTTGTGTGCATTCATCTACAGTTGAGTTCGTTTCTGCTACGAGACATTGTTGGCGGCCCAAGTGCTGCACCTTGAGGATAGTGTGGGCGTGGTATGAGGCGGCACTATTTCCACTACCTTAAAGCTTCGTTCCTTTACACTACTGAGTATTTTATTATATTGCTGTTCCTATATCGTATTATGGCCATTACTATGAGCACTACATTATTACTATTATTATTGCACATTAATGCCAATCGGCACACCCCGCTCACGCCTGTGCGCCTTTTCTGTGATACGGCACAGCTTTGCTGCCTGTACCTTATTTCGTATGTTTTAAGATGAAACTAATACTCAATAAATCAACACCCGACAAACCATCACCTGTTCCCTTGATCAGCGCTCCTTACCACCATACTGCAGCCGCTATGATTCCGCGATGTATGCTTGACCCTGCTCCGACCCTCTTTCTTACTGCCTGACCACATTTCCCCGGAACTTCATGTTTACGTCAAACAGGAGTAAGTGGAACTATAGACTATCAAAATAGTAAGCTGTCAGACTGTCGATGGCGACGGAGCAGTGGACATAGCGGGCGTGGAACGGAGAAGAACGTTAGTTACATAAACCAGATATTAGTAGCGCGGAGAGGCTCATATAGGAGAAAACTTTCGCTTGATCTCAAAATACATCTACTAAGCCCCACATAGCATTCCACCTTGAGCTCTCAATCGCATGTTCCTATTTCTCAGTTGCATTTTCCTTCACCTCAGACACTCAAAATCCCTGAGGTGCGGTATTCTCGATACGTTCTTGGATGAACGGCTAAGTTGGCGGCGGCTAAGTTTTCGTAAGATGCCTTCATTCTGCGACAGCTGTAATCACGGCTTTGTTGAACACAGAAGATGATGACAACCGCTTTGAATGTAAATGTTCCACGAGTAACCAGTGCTGTGCCATGCTCGAATGTCACGCCTTTTACGTCTCAGGGGAAAGGAGCATGTAAATATTTGAAGGCAGCGCCCGCGTACAATTTGATGAGTGGGGGCTCAGACAGTGACAATAAGGTAGCAAGTAGTTCATTAGTGAAGCAAATGGCAAAAAATCATCAGATATGCTCTTTATATGACCTCACGCCGAGCTGAGGTTGTACGTGCTAAAGGCGAAGAGAAGGCGCGACCGCACGAGTTCTCACTTGTTGATATCAGCTGTTTTCCCTTATCAG